ACAATACTGGGATGATTCGTCTGTTCTTGTACTTGCCCGTTGTTTTTGTCCTCGATGATGATGATGATGATGATGATGATGATGATGATGATGATGATGATGATGATGATGATGATGATGATGATGATGATGATGATACTGGCGAAGCCCGAACGGGACGAAACTTTGAACAGTTTTTTATAATACAATGTACCATAAACTTTCCAACCCCCTTAATCTCCATACCTTTTGACACCCCCCCCCCCCCCCCCGGTTACTTCTTCTCAACAATGATGATCATGGCGACGACACCGCTGCTGCTGCTGCTGCTGCTGCTGCTGATGATGATGATGATGATGATGATGAAGATGATGGTGATGATGATGATGATGATGATGTGATGATGATGATGATGATGATGATGATGATGATGATGATGATGATGATGATGACGATGACAAGCTAAAACTCCATTCGCATGCCCCATGCTCCCTCGACTCAGGTGACAGCTGCTAAACTTTTAATTTGAACTCCGTCTTCCGGGTTATGGGAGAGGGTGTTACATGTATAATTGGCGTCGTTGCCCAACGTGTTACAAAAAAAGTATTTCCCAGCACAATAATCAGACTTGACAATATGAGCATTTTGTTTTTGTTCCTTTTTCTTTTTATAGACAAAATAGCGCTGAGACAAAAGTAGGTATAGACGTTGTAGATGTCCTGATATTGTCACAATTGTTGATTTTTTTTTTAAATTAAGGGAGAAGGAGGAGAAGTGAGAGAGGAAAAGACAGTTTCACCAGTATGTAATAATATATAGGTGGTAATTATCTGTCCATATTTCTCCCGCGAGACTACATCAGTTTTCAGAAGAAAAAAAAACTGCCGCTATATGATAAGGAAAAAGAAAAGATTAGATGAGACAAATTAAGTCGTTTCAGTTATAGGAAGAGTTTTTTAAGTAAGTGTTTTATGGCACTTGCAACATAATAACATCATATAAGTGCCGAAGATTAGAGGTGTTACAAGAGAGTAACAAACACAAAAAAGAAGAAGGTGAAATAAAGATGACAGATGTTTGATAGGAAAGAAGAAGCAAATTTCAACAGAGCATCCGCCAACCACCATTTAGGAAGAGTTTTACAGCACTTGCAACACAATAAGCTCATATAAGTGCCGAAGACTAGAGGTGTTACAAGAGAGTAACAAACACGAAAAACAAGAAGGAAAGATCAAGATGAAAGAAGGAGCAATCCACACCAGAGCACCCGCCAACCACCAGAACAAATTTTAGTCGAGTGACATAAAGTTTTTAAAAAAGCATGAAGCAAGCAACAACAACAACAACAACAGCACAGCAACAACAACAATAAGGAAAGAAAGACAGACAAACCTAACCAAACAAATAATAGTCAGAGAGAAGGAATAAAAGAAAAAAACAATCATGTGTTTTTTTGTTTTTCGGCGGTGGGGGGCAGGTATGTGTATGTTTGAAATCAACATAGTGATGAGTATGTGTTACGTATCATTGATAGAAACAGTGTGGACTATATTGTGCGTGCATGTACTTAAGTGAGTCTATGTATGAGAGTATGAATATGAGCGCATGATTGAGCACGCATGTATGAGTATACGTGCACGTGTCTGTGCGTATGTGTATAAGTATAAACGTTTGTACAACTCTGTGCATGTTTTCACTGAGCTTGTGTTTGTGTACAAGGAAATGAGTTCAAAAGTGTTTTACTTCTGTAAATCACATCACCGTATTGGTGTGCAATTAATTAAGGGAAATAAACAAGGACTAATCTACATGATGAAAAACGAACCGAGGAAAAAAAATAAAGCAGAGACGAACAAGAAAAAAAAAGAATTACACGACTGCATTCCTGACCCATGCCTTCTGTACAGGAAAGATCAAGCAAAGATGCCAGAAAGATAAAAGCTATGGAAATCATATCAAAGTGAAGGAAAAGTTTCTATCTTTGAACGGCTCTCCTCACATGAACTATTCTAAATAAAAAATGTGCTAAAATTTGGACCCAATACCACACCACTATACACGAGAAACAAGAACGAAAATGAAGGGGTGAAGTGAATAACAGGATAAATCTCTTCTTTTTTTTTTTAAATCAGACTGTTAGCCCATATCTAACAACAGTATCTGTAAAAAATCATTATTAAACCAATTAAGTGAAAATGTATTTTTATATACACCAAATCAAGTAGGGTTCAAAACCAAGTCCATCATTAAAAAGTTTTCACTTTGGTTAAGTTGAGGAGGGATTAATGTGACTTAGACTGTTTTCCACTTTACTTCTTCAAATGTGTTCTAAATTGCCTTGCTTTTAGCCATCCACAAAAAACTAAACAGCATAAAAATTGGGCTGACAGTTCTCTTTAGGGATGTTTTTGTTTTTGCGTTTGAGACACACAGGGAATTGACCATAGTTTACACACACATCTTTTTGGACCTGTTCAGCATTTGCTTGAAGAATCTATTGTCCTTACATGCCTTACATATTACACTGACAACTGTCAAAAGTAGTAGCTTCACTAGAAGTTGCAAGGTACAACATTAAGGGAAAAATGTATCTCATCTAACGGAAAGAAATAACCACTCTTATCAGAAGTATTCCTTATTGTTAAGATGTAGCTTTGCGTTTACAAAATTATTTTATGCACAACACGCAAAGGAGATAACTGCGTAAATACTGAAACCATAACCTCTTTGACTGGAACACAGAGGGAAGTAACCATGGCCAAAATCCAAGTACAGAAAATTTGGTTCAATTATCGACCTTTATAAAAGATCCAAGCAATTTCATTTCTGTTCCACATTAACCTCGTCAAGAAAGAAAATTCATATCAAAACCAGTCATCTAGTGAATGTTACACCTTCTGCAGCCGAAGTATGAGCAGAGTTTGCCTAACCAACAGAAGAAGCAGGGAACATTTTTTTAAAAAATAAATAAAAATCATACATTCTATTTAACAATAGAAAATGTAACACAGCTCCATATCACAATAAACCTAAATTTTCAAGAAACTGATTTACCCTCGACCTAATATCAGATATACATCATCTATGTTCCAAGTGTTCCCCATAAAATTGCTGGAGACACTAAAAGGAATCAGTCTGAGGAATGTATCATTACATATAAACTGCTGGTAATTTGAAAAAGTAATCAATAACTAGTGTAAAAATTCAATTTGAACTGTATCACACCCCCCCTCCTCCCCAAAAAAAAATAAAAAGACATACTATTTTGCAAGTCTTCAGACCTCGCAACATAAATTAAAGAAGCTTCACAAAATTCTAATTAAAACACACTTGACAAAGATCTAATCATTCCCTACATTTGCTTCTCATGCCATCCCTCTTTCGAGCTCTTAGAAATTGCATCAACCATCATTTACCTCCAAAGCATAATTAAGTGGAATAGCACATTAGGACAATGTTCCTTTCATTGCTCTTTATAAGAAAACAAAATGCAGAAAGAGCACACTGAGAAACAGACCAAACTTATTAATTCAGCAAAAATGTTGCAATGTTACTTTCATCACACCTGTACTGATTAAATGAATATTATAAGACACATGGTACTTTTTATCCCATAAACCAGCACAGTAATGATAATCTTTACAAGACAGTTATTATAGCATCTCACTCAAAACCAAAGCAATTCTGATTATTTATTTATTCATACCACCGGAATAATCATTCTGTGTGATTACAATGTCAAGCCAATATGTCAAATGACTTAAAGTATATTATATAAAATGTCCTTGTCCCCAAAAGTATTGCAAATTATATTATACATTAATACATAAATGAAATATCATTCCAAAATTCACTAGAAGGTTTTGTTAACATTTAATAATAATACAGTAATCTTTAATAAATATAGTCAATTGGAAAAAGTAGTAAAAATTCCACTTTCTGTTTACTCTGTACAGCAGTCTGAAGTTAAGCTAGGAGACTGCAACTAGTCAGAGCAGTCGAGGAAGCAGAAACAATGTTCTGTTTTCTTCAAACATCTGTCCTCCTCCAAACCCAGTTTTCATATGTTGCATTTCTTTAAGTGGTAGCTTAACACTAAGAGCATTGAATACTAGATTCCTCAACAAAAGTACAAATACCCTATCCCTTGTCAGAGCAGCCAATGAAGGCAAGAGACAAGGTACAACAATTGACCTCTGTCCATCAGTTTCACATGACGCCATTGAGTTTTAAAAATAAAATATCTGACTCCTCTGCGAACACGATTTACCGCCTCTTTTTCAATCTCTTATTTCAAAAATAGTCATTATGTTGTCCTATTTCTTAACAGCTCCCAGTAAGACATATCTGTGACTGTGTCATTCTATCAAAAGTAATTCTTTTCTTCCAGTACAGGACGGATTATGTACATCTTATCGTATCCTTTATTGGTTTTGTGATTATTCTGTTAGCCATATTATGCACAGGCCACATATTCTATGACAAGACAAACTGTATCAAACTTTGAAATAAATAAAAAGGAACAGAAGCATGACAAATACGCAAATATTATAAATAATATGACAGCCCCATGACAACAGAGTATTCAAAATGCAGGTAGTAGCTAGAGAGATTAACTTACCTTTGTTCTTTTAATGCTAGGTAGAAGTTTTAAAGAAATAACAAACAAAAATCAGACACACTGTCAGAGCAGAACAAATTTTTAATAAATCTTCCCCTCACTGAACTTTTCACCAATCTTTTTGAAAAGTCGCCTAACTCTATGAAGAACTCATGTAATTCAAACGCAGTCTACTCAACAGGAGATGAGAGATTTGGCAGCTTGCCAAAGAGCAGACTAGCTTGAACCGACATTCTATGACTGTAATTGTATATTGTTAAATAAAAGGCTTGTTGCCCATCCCTGATTTTCTTTCCTACTGAAAACATAAATGGAAATTTGCTTCTTTCTTCCCCATAACTTTCAGCCTGTTGATCTATGGTTTGAAAATACGTTTGATTTTTTTCTATTTCCTTTTCCAAATTAGAGAATTTTCTTCCTCAGTCTAAACAAAATTTCACAGTTCACCTCTGTTTCAACAAAGTGTTTTACACCTTTAGTATCAACTGACCAAGTCAGGGTTGTCAGTGGCTTGGGGATTAGAGAACAAATTTCAGTGACAGTCAAAATTTTTTTTTTAAGTCAAGGAACCAAAGACTCACTATGGGTTGATGAGAAAATTATAGCTCCACAAGTAGTAACAGGCTCTGATGGGCTTGAATGCCTGATAAGTGTATATCATAACTGACAATCACATATTAGCCCTACCTTGAAGATGTTCCCCTTGTGTTTTTTATCCTCTTCTTTCAGAACACCAGCTGCCAAGAGATGAGTGCAAAACTGTGAGGCAATCACTCGGAAGTCATGCCGGGACAAGGTCGCATACAGGTAATGAGACTCGTCAAACAGACAGCACAACCAGGTGGAGAGGGCCTCACCTGAACAGGAAAATAAACACACTGTTACATTCCACTAGCGCTCTGACATGAAATGCTAATGAGTAGTTTCTCTGTCCATTTTCTATCAGCATCTTCTGCTATATCAACACCAAAACTTTTGCCTGGTGTAAAATGAGAAGGGCAGAACAGAGCCTAAACAATGACCAGTGTTAAAGAAAAGACTCGTTTTGAAACACAACTGAATATTCTAACATAAACAATGAAATGAAGCAAAAAACACTTTTTCCCCCTCTAGCACAGTCATTCAAAGCCAAATTTAATCAACAGATATTTGTAAAATTGTATTGTTTCAAATAAAGTAGCATTTACCTCAGAGTAAAGCTAAGAAGGACAATGCATTTACACTTCAAAAACATTTCACTGTCTAGTCTAAAAACTGTAGCTGTCTATACTGGGAAGTTAAAGAAATAAAGAAATCGCCAACAATGCACATCATAAATCGGCCCAATATACGAGATACTATATCACTCCCTTTATGGAATTTTTTTAAAAACAACAAACGTACCACTGAATCCTTCAGATGTTTCTATACTCAAATCCTGAGGGAGACTATCGGGCCACTTAATCGCATCATCAAAACTGAGAGAAGGCGTATATCTCTCTTTATTGCAGGACCTCCGCCTTCTGCCAGACATTGGTGCTGCCTTGGGGGTGCTTGGAATATCTTGAGACAGTTCAGCTTCCAGGGACTGTTGCAAATAGATGCAGTAACTGTTAAAGTCAAAGAAACTACACCAACTGTTACTTTACTTTTTACTTTTTAAATCAATTCTGCACAATGTCTTTCAAGAATTAAAAAAATATATATACACAGTCAAACCTGCGATGACGGCCATCTGTATAATACAGCCACCTGTACAAACGACCACTTTCCATTTTCCCACTTGCATTTTTTCTATAAAATTCAACAGTGTAAAACAGGCACCTATCCAATGCTACCGCGGCCACCCTATTTTATCAACCCATGGTCAAATTTACCTGCCTCAGACAACCAGGTGTGGTCACTCATTGCCTGATGCTTTGTCATAAATTTTGAATCGCCCTTAATGCTGTGGATGGGCCGTCATAATCTTTTCACCTGTCGTTGTTGTTAGTCCCTCCAATGAATGTTTACCCAAGCTGATCAATGGGGAACAATACATTTTCAACTGCTGGAGAGGAAAGCGTGTGATGCGTCATAACCTTTAAGCCCCGCTCACAACTCATGCACAAATCGCATGTGAGGTGACTGGTCACTGTTTTGTTTGCCTAATCTCTAACAAAGTAACAATGGACATTGACGGGAATGTGCGACAGAAGCATCGCTCGTTCTCGGAGTGGTAGCAACCCGTGAGTTTGTTTTACCATGGCACTCGGTCTTCATCGTTTTACATATTTCATTTATTTTACCCTTGCACAAAATTAGAAACAAAAAAACCAAACCAACAAAACAGCAATAACAACAACAAAGGAAACCCCCAAACTAACACCCCACCCATTTTTCAAAAGAAAACAAAAAAAGCTTTAGAATTAGCCTTACAGCAGTCCAAAGCCTCAGATCAATCCAGGCCTAGACCTCCGAGGAGAATGGTTCACTTTCTTTATTTTAATCAGTCCTGCCTCAGACGGCCACCTGTGTTATACTGCTACTTTTCTCCTTGACAATGGGTGGTCGTTTACAGGTTTGACTGTATAAAAAATTCAGAGTTTCTAACACTTACAGTAGCCAGGGCTCATATTATGAAAAACCCTCATGTACCGCACCAGAATTTTAGTTTTTTGTTTGTTGGGGGTTTTTTAAAGTGTTTTTCGGTGCTCGCAACTGCATAAGGTCATATGAGCGCGTGGGACACACCAAACATTTTCAGTTGGCAGGAAATTTGAATTTTGCTCGGGTGGCGGCTGAAGCCTATTCTTATCTATTTTAAGACCACCAAGGGATCTTTAACGTGCGCAACGTGCACCCGGGACCTCCGAGATTTTTTGTCCATGTCCGAGAAGGCTAGGTGTAGATCTTTCCCACCAGAAAATCAGAGGTGTGGCTGAAAGACAGCAGTAAAGAGCCAAGGAGTAGCAGTAGAAAGGCTGCAGAAATAGTCAGGAGTCCAGAGGAGGGGCAAAGAAAGTGAGGTGGGGGGGGCATAAAGTGGACACAAAAGCAGACGACAGAACATTGCTAGAGAGCAGGAAAGGAGGTGAAAGGAGACAATTTTAGAGAAAAAAAATTTTCCATCGCTACTCGGATTTGAAAACCGGGATCTTTGAATGAGAGGCGGACACCTTAACCTCTAGGCCATGTGAGCCCCCTCTGCAAGAGTTTAAAAAAGTGAAGCCACGGTATAATTTTTTTACATTTTAAAAACCTTCACAGCCCAAGAAACATACGTAAAAAATTCACAGAGTTTTTTATCAACCATTCAGGTATCACATACAGCGACTTCCTTTCGTATTTACTTTAGTGCAGTGGCTCCATTCCTTGTTTAAATATGCTTACTGTGCTTGGTTGCTTTGGTGACTAAAGTTGCCAGCGGTAATGGGCGCATACTACAACCTGGTGACAAAAGTCGCTGATGGTACTGAAAGTGTTAAATGAGGACTTTTTATCCTAAATCTTTGGCCAAAACCGTTTCTATTTCATGTTTAATTCAATCTCCTAGCCATATTCCAGACTGAACAACCATTTCATCATCCTGTGTGTATAAGTTCTAGAAGTTAATTCTATGTTTGAAATTTGAATGCTATCCATGTTACCACAGAACATAAGCACCATGAATCAGGTCAAAACAGCGACATTAGAAAACGTAGCTGTAAAGAAAGAAACCAGGTCAAAGAAGTTATAAACAATCTATGAAACAGTTCGCTGGGATAGCTACAAATGTTAAATTTTTTTAAAATAACACAAAGAAGCTATTGGAATGTTCTCCTTGCTTTGCTTCTAAAAAAACAACCCCCAAAATGAAAAAAAAATCAAAAAAAAAAATTATATATATATATATAAAAAGGTGATCAACATTTACTGCACAGCTGAAGTACGCAAACAGTTAACCAGAATTGCACTTGATAAATACTGATATAAGAAACAGAATAAATCTCTGTATTACTGTATACTGGGCTTTTTTGCGTGCACTCTATTTTTTCTGTTTTGTTTAATTTCGTTTTTGATGAACATTTTGAATTCACGATTTCAATCAACTAGTATCATATTTGTATTTGGGTTCCAATGCAGTGGTGCTTAGACCTGCATGTGAGCCTGAACCAGATTGTCTTAAAATTTTGCGCAACCATAAGAACTTTTGTGGGTGTCATAAGGAAGGACTTCCGAGTAACGAGCGACCACCCCAACAAACACAGAAGAGACCTAACCCTAACCCTACCCCAAAAAAGAACCTGCAACAGGCCTCATGTAAAAGGCCAGCACAAGTCCAAAATTTAAAAATTTAAAAATTTAAAAAAACCACACTCTAAAACAAACAAGGAGCATATATGGCCTAAATTCTACATCTACATTGCTATAATAGGATTTGATGCAATAACACAATAGAATTGGAAAATGAATCCTCCATATAGATCTAGATCTTGTAATCTAAATAAATCTAGATCTAGATCTTGTAGAACAAGTGAATAGGAATAGGCCTTGAACTAGATAGAAATCCGCATCCGATTCCGAACAGAGGGACTCAGCTGAGTCTAGATTCTAAATAAATAAATAATTCACGCACCTGATGAAATGCTTTTTACCAACATTAATATTACAGCACAACCTATGGTTTGACACAAAAGAATTGGAATATGAATCCTCCATTGAGGTATATAATGACCTATATAAATTCTAGATCTAGATCTATATTCTATTAGAACAAGTGAGTGGGACTTGAATGAATCCACACGATCTATTGAATTAGTCAACAAACGAAATTCAAAATGGCCACTCGTGCACGAAACTGAAAGTAGATATTTTAGGTCGCCGTCCTTTTTCGTATTCGCATTTCTACTCAGGTTCCGACAATTATGTCGGAAACGCCGACGTCGGCAGTCGGCACGAAAACGAAAGTGCCGACACAGCCGACGGGAGAAAAAGGGGGCGCTGGCAGTCGGCCAGGCCTCGCACTACGCACATTGACTGATACAGCTGGGCCTAGCCATAGCATCGGCCGGCTCACGGGTCGGGTCGCGATTGTCGGATTTCAGACGATTGTCGGCAAACATGCAGGTCTAGGTGCTGTTTTTTAACAGTTAGCTAATTTTTACTTTACTTTTATCCGCCGCTTATACCCTTTTGGGTGTCACGGGAAGAAAGAGACATCATTCTGTCACCAGCCGGAGAGCTTGAGTCAGGGGGATGCAGTGGGTGGTTAACGTTTCCCTGACTCCATCTATCCAGGTCTTTCTCAATCGCCGTCTAGCCTTGTTGCCATCGATTTGTTTTATATAGGCATGTTGTGCTGGATGGTGTGTTGGTTATCGTAGGAGATGTCCGAACCATTTGATTCTTTGGTCTTGGATGTGATGCATGACATCATTTGTGCACACCATTTCTCGGATTACAGAGTTTCTATTTTGTCTCGCCTGGTCTTGTTTGTTCCTTTCTAAGGCATCGCATTTCACATGTTGTAATTCTTTGCTCTAATGTCTTGTTCGTGATCCATGTTTGGCATTGATAGGTGAGAGTTGGGATGAATATGTTGTTGATCATTTTGAGTTTTGTTGTCACACAAAATAAATAAATCTAAATAGGCCAATTTCTAAAATTCCCTAAAATAACTAATTTAAGTTGCACACAAAAAAAAAGAAAGAAAAAAAAGTAAATAAAAATAATAACAACAACAACACATTAAGTAAATCTAAATTAGAATTACCTTCTGTTTCAAACTTGCAATCATCTTAGCACTGGGTGGTTCATCATCTATGTTGGTCTCGTCACCATCTTGACCATTGAGGACACTATTGGACATACTCTCTGGAGTAGTAGGCACACTTGCAGACTCGCTCTCTGTCACTTGATCTCCAAAAATTGTGCGTAACTTCAACTGATCCATCTGTGCCATGGCCTTAGAAGTAGAGATATAAAAATCAATATAACCACTTGTCTTTCTGAAACAGTGGGACAACGTTCCATGTATGAAATTGATACTCCATACTTGTCTGGAGCAAATATTTACAATTACAAAATGTAACTCTGCAGACTGGACAAGGCCGCTTGATGCATAAATTGACCAGAAAAGTATATGGGTAACACCCTCACTTCTCATTCGATAAACAATGATGGAACACAACAGATAAAGGGAGAGGGCATCAGAATTAATGCACCTTTTCTTTTTAAAAAGTGTCCCTCTCATTCATCTAAACAAAATCACCACAGCACAGGAAAGTTGAAAGCACAAAGAATATGGCAAATAAACCCCTACAGAGATTTTAAAAACTTTTTCGGTTTTGCTATGCTCGGGTAAACATTAGAAAAATACTAAAATGACAAAGTGGAATGTTCATTCAGGAAAGAGAAGAAAAAAATTATCTACCATTCAATTTTAAAAAAAGGTCAGCAAACCTGATCTAAATCTGTGACAACTGGACCTGACCTCAAGGGGGTTGAGTTGGCAGATATAGCCTGATCTTCCTTAGTCTGGGGAGTGTCTTTAGATGACTTTCGGCGTCTCTGACGAGCTCTCCGTCCCTCTGGAGACTGAGAGAGCCGACGTTGAAGGGCACTGCCCAGTGCTCCCAAGCTATTCTGAGACTGATCCTGTACATTTTCCACTGGGTTAAAGGGAAAATCATCACCATCACTTGTAGAAACTGTGGTATGGAAATAAAATGTGTAAAATAATATGGCAACACCATAATACCAACTCAAAGTGTTTGATATGATGTAACAATGGGCGTCAACATAAATTTGCGACAGAAGTGTCCCTCATTAGCCCAGTGATGACAACCAAATTGTTTGTTTTACCATTGCACTCTTCTTCGTCTGACACATATCACATTCCTTGCTCACTCGCTCCTCCGTCTGATATAATACTTTGTAAAATTCAACACTCACTGCAATAGCGAAGCCCCCTTTCCGACATCTCTTCAAAAGATTAAAATAAAATCAATTGGCCTTTTATGGCACTTCTAAGCTTGCAACCGCCTCCTGTTGGACGTCAGAAAAGAATGGCTCGTTTTCTTAATTCTCAAGAGTCGTGCCCGAAACATATCTGTCTATAATGACTTTTTTCCTCAACAAAAAGTGGCCATCTTAGGCAATTCCGACTGTATAATCGCTTTTGTTTTTGTTCTTTACTCACCTATATTGGAATTGGTGTCGTGGACTGGTGTTGATGAGACATGAGTTGCAGATGCATCAACTGCCCTTGTAGAAGATTTAGGGAGAGGAAAAATCAACGTAGGAGATGGTGACCTGCTTGGTCTCCTTGGAATTGGCGGAGGAGGATCATCAAAAACAGAATCATCTGGGGGAGTCTCTGCCATATCACTGATAGAAATATGGGTAAAAAGAAACCAAGTAATGAGTATGATACAGAAACACAGAGTATGGTTGATGATTTCAAGCTTATTTTCAATTAATCATGATTGTGTGATGGGGATATATGTAACAGTGTATTCTGAAGACTTCTCTTTAACTGACATCTCTGTCTACAACCGACGTAAAAACAGAAAAATGAAGATATATTCAAATAGAGAGAGAGGAAAGAACAGAGGGAGAGGGAAAGATGAAAAGTCAGAGAGTGTGTTTTTACATCATTTGTTCATATCATGTGGATCATGTATACCATTGTGTGATAAAAGCTATTTATATGGCTAAGACAAGATGTGTGTACATTCTACATAATAAATAGTAGAACCAACTTTAATGTGTGCTAATCAACCCCAATATCTTCCCCTGATGTTTATTACAACATTACTTCATTTTAAAGTTACTCTTTTTAGAAACTAAATTCTAGAAAATTGTCAAAAGGATGCAGAAAGTCATGTTTGTAAAATATTATTTTATATTATATAAATCTCTTACTTTCAGAATTGCTGTTCTGACTGCATTTAAGCGCAGTCTCTGGTAAAAAACAAAACGAGCATTACATTCAGCCAAGCCAACTATACATTAAATAATACTCAATCAATAGTCAACGGGTATGGTAGGCTCATGAGACAAAACAACAAATCATAGAGGCTTTACACCACAGTAGTCCTTAACATCTCAACTCTCACCTCTAGTCTTCAAACCATTCACAGAGAAACATAATTTGGTAAAAAAGTGCAATTTAGACACGTAAATTATTAGACTCAATATACCACAAACAACACTATTTTTAATCATACATTTGTAGCAGTAGCGCATTATTAGAATTAGACCCAATGTAAAGGCCCAACACGTTACCTCTGCGTTTGTAGCACATTATTAAACCCAGGCCACGTTTTATTTAATACTTGAGTTTGTTTGTAGCACTTGAGTTCGTAGCACATTTATAGGGGATAGTTGTCAGCTATAGTCCTTAGCAAGACTACGTCACAAAACCTGTTGTGAAAAACAAATTTTGAAAATTCATGGAGATAGGATGGGAAGAGATCACCAGATGCGCCGAACTGTCTGCACAATTTTGGTTACGCACATCCACCTGTTCTCAACGTGACGTGTGGATGTCTGGATTGTCCGGGTCCACAAAGTGATATGCTGATGAATAAACACTAAAATTTACTCGTGCCAATATTTGAAGTGTCTATTCAATTAACATCTTATTGTTTTACATTCATTGGGTCTATTAACGTAGGCTACTACAAACGCAAGTACAAAACAAGTTGTACATTGATGAGTCTAATAATTTGCACACACCTCAATGCACTTTTATCCATAATTTTGCTGAAACTGTTTTGAACCTGAAGATATATCAGTACATCATAAAGTATGAGCTGCTTCCTAGGTTGATTCTTTGCCTCTTCAACAAAAACAAATTTAAAAGGCTAAAAACTTAAAATTAAAGTTAAAGAACAATTCAAGTAACTGTAACACCAGGTTGAAGTAGAGTTTAACATGTGTCCCGTTCGGAAAAGCTATTTCCGAAACATAAAGACATCGGGGGGGGCGGGATGGGGCAAGATTGCTCTTTTCAAAGCTGTGCAGTCGTAATGTTTACCAAGAAGCCTGTCCTGTGCCCAGAAAACAAACATTTCAAACAATACATTGCCACGGCCCCAGACTTGGTGTTGGGACTCTATGACTATGACTCTACTATGCAGTAAGATTGACTTCTATAACACCACAAACAGATAGATCTATAGATTTCTATATCTACTCGGATGTTTTTTGTGTAACCAAGAAAAGAAAAAAGAAATCCACCTGACCTTCTTTGATCAAATAAGGTTAAAACTCGTCAGAACAACCGTCTTCCACTTCTTCTGCTTCTCTCGATGAGAAATTTCAACAACAGTTTCATTCAATGTTTACAGGGGACATAACTCCAGTTACAACCAAAGTGACACTCTTCTGTAACAGAAGATGAAAAATAGTGGGTAAGGGAGGTGACTCCTTTCCTGCGACAAGCGTCATTGGTTACACAAAAGTTGTAGCGGTTTTCATCGTTATACATTTCAGTGATGTTGATGCATAGATTTTAAAATTGCTGTTAGCTCACCTTTAACTGTCAAGATAACTAGACTGTATGATCAAAGACTTTATCACCTTTTTGCAGCAGTGCATGTCCTGGGTCGTTGCTTCCGTTTATGTGTAAGAAAACAAATGTTATCAGACGTTTCCCTTGCCTTTGGCTGGGTCAATGTGGGCTTGAATGAACACAATGTGTGAAACCTGCTAGAATTAAAGGAAGCTCCAAATTATGAATAATATATGATTTCTAGATAATACATTTGGGGGTATGGATAAGAAAGTCATTTGTAAAGAATGGGTCAGAATGTAACCCATGATCGCAAACTCATTCAAACAACTGAAAGGAAAAGAAAGAGACTAAAAACTGTGAAACTGAAAGGCAAGGCACAGAGTTGTTGTTTTTTTTTATCACTTTTCATTTTATTTTGTTTCGTTTCTCATAGGTCACTGATGCCTCTGCACCCCTCCCCCAACCCGTTTTCTGTTGGTGCTGTTGATGGTGGTGTATAGCAGCTGTTTTTGAATTATAATGATTGCATTTCATTAGAATCCTTTTTTTCATAAATAATTAAATAACCTTTAGATTTAAGAAAATGTCAGTATAAGAGGCACAAATGACACATTAATAATTATTAAAATATCTTATAATCCATTTTCCTTTGTTCAGAACCATTTTTTGCTGGTGTCTCAAAACTGTCACTATATAAGGTGCCATATATTCTCTTTCAATCAGTTCTTGTCCTCTTATCACTCTTTTTATTTATTCCCGACTACAGTTATAACTTTATCACATACATTCGATTTGATGAGGATTTCTTAGTTTCATTATTTGTAATATATATATAACTCCATTCATCTTTACAACCCCCCACCCCCTAAAAAATGGTGGACTAATTTTCCTGCACTACTCATTTAAACTATGACTGCTTAAGTGGCATTGTTGGATTTTCATTGAAACTAAAACAATTCTCAGTTTTTGTATATAAGGTAAAAAAGGTTGATTTTTTATCTGGTATTTCCTAAAAGATACTCACGACATGGTGGAATCAGCTAGTGCTCGTCAATTTTAAGGGCCTACATGGGGCTATTGGTATCATCTTAAAGCCTGTTTATTTGCCTTCCTTTTGGTGAAAAAATTATCCATCTATATGTTGAATAGAAGTCAAAATATTTGCGGCTGAAGGAGGCTGGCAAAGCTAGTTAATTTCCATGACCTGAGAGTTCTGGGAACTGGAAATGTGTTTTTAAATGGACATAAAAGGTGTTGAGCCAAAAAAGGAAAATTAGAACAAAATTGCCCATCGGCCAATTGAGGAGCGCCTGATTTCACCATGATGACTCTCACAATATGTATAAAAAATACTCATGTAACATATGATATATGCCTGAGTGCCTTATATATTGACTTAATAGGCTTCTATTCCGTTCCACAGATAATCTCATGGAGTATGATTTCCCAAACATATTACCTTTTGAGATAACAGAGATCATATTAAAGCTTCTCAATGCAAAAGAATTGTCAAGATTTCAGAGTGTATGCTGGAGATGGAGGGAATTTGGCAATTCAGATAGTTTATGGTAAGCATTTTCCTTACAATAAAATGAAAGATAAAAGATGACTTCTTGAGTTACTTTGGTACTGTGTGCAAGCTGGCCAAAATTTAAATTCATTAAAAGTGCAGTACATCAACGGAGAAACTAGCCTTTTCACTAATAGTGACTCATGGCTTCGAATAAATAACAGTGGATCAAAAATGTTTCAACTTTCCAAGACATTCTAGTGTTGATAAGATTAATGCTGACTAGTCAGGCATATTAAGTAGTAGACATCTGTCAATACAGACTCCTCATGGATGCACCCTCCATGAACTGTTCCTGTACAACTGAATCAGTATCTTAGCAAGAATGGGATATAACTTAACAGTCTTCTCCTCCAAGGTTAAATTTATTTGAAGCTTCTGGCCTGTTTGAGTGGCTGTATGCCTTTCTTCATGTCCATTTGTCTCCATCTATTGCTTTAAGATCTGTTTCCCTGGATAACGTCATTCAGCACACATCTCTGCTCCCTGCAGTCTAGTGGAATGCTCTTTCAGGACTTAAAGTGAATATTTATATCCTGACTAATTGTTATCCTGCCTCCTACAAACTTTCTAAAAAGGTTTTTTGGGGGGAATTCGTCCAGTTTTCAATTGATGGTTAAATGGTCAAACCAGTAGTACCTACACTGTCTATGCACGATGCGCTAGACAGGAAACTCAGCATGGGCTGAGGCCTTTGCATTGGAGACTTTGTTGTACCAAGACATTCCTTGGATTCAATTAATGGTTCTCAAATAGAAAATGTTAATTCTTCTTTGTCTTCCTTTTTTATTGCCACTTTGTTTTCTTAGCTGAGACGCTTGACAAGCAAGTGAAAGTGGTTGTCTTCCCAGTTCTTTTCTTAATTTCAATTTCTTTTATGGAGTGATTGTTGATAAAGACGATTGTGAAGTATGTGGATTGATGAAGAACTTTGTGTTCATTGCCACTGATAGTAATGACTGACACTAATGTAATGTCCTGATCCTGGGACTTTCATCTACTTCGGAATGATGGCCAGTCTAAAATTCTCTCAGGCCTGGAAATAAGATTCCAACAAAGCTCAGTTTCTGTTTGGTGTATGCTGTCATAGCTGTATCGTCAGCTAGTAAGAATGCCAGTTCTGGCTTTTGGCAGGGCTCTGAATGAAAATCATGCTGGCTGGTCTGGTTTACATTAGATTCCTTTTGTTACCATGCTAATAGAATATTTTAAGAATTGTGCAAGGGAAGCACAAAGAAATATGACAGTAGAAACACAGTAATGTTCTACATTATTGCAAATGCCAAAGGCGAAAGAGGTACAGTCAAACCTGCCATGACGGCCACCTCTATATGACGGCCTTCTGTACAAACGGCCACTTTCCATTCCCCCTCTTTCGTTTTATCTGCATAATTTCACTGTGTAAAACGGCCACCTGTCCAACGCAGCCGCGGCCACCATATTTTAACACACAGCCCCTATCACACCAAACAATAACACCTGTCTTAGACGGCCGCCTTAGTGACTCCATTACGTTTTGTCATAAATTATGCATTGGCCCCTGACGTTGTGGGTGAGCTGTCATAATCCAATCATCTGTCGTTGTTGTTAGGTAGTCACTCCAACTGATCATGTTTCGTTGGCCTCTCCCACTGTTGAGCAATAGGTAACAAATTTTCAGCTGCTGGTGAGGTTAGCGTATGATCCCTCATAATCCATAAGCCCTGCCCGGAACTCATACACAAATCATATGTGAAATGAGTGGTCACTGTTTACCCAGTCTGTAACAAAGTAACAATTTAATGGACGTCAACATGAACTTGCAACAGTTCTCCTAGTGGCGGCGACCCATGTGTTTGTTTTTAAATGGCACTTGGTCCTACTTGTCTGACACATTTCGTCTTTTTGTCACCCCTTTCACAAAATCAGCTACAAAATAATAGAAAGCAAACAAAAAACTACCCAATGAAAGCAACAACAACAACAACAATGCGGCTACCTTCAGTTGGGACCTCAGATGGGAAAGTTTTTTTTTCTTCATCTTTGTCAGTCCTGCCTAAGACGACCACCTGTCTTATACAGCCACTTTTCTCCTTGACACAGGTTCCACTGTATTTTTTAAAAAGAAAATTAAGCTTTCTCTTCTTGTTTTTATGAATCTGGTCATGTCCTGCTAATTGAAGTGTAAAATTGAAAAGTGTGAAAAGGCTGTCTCAGCAGGCCAAGTCAAATGCTGTTTTGAAAAGAGACCTGGTGAGGCTTTATTCTTACTTTCCCCTCATGTCTCTCAAAATTGGGTCAATTAAAATGCCATTTCAGTTGTAGCAATCAGTCTGAGCTCTGAATGATGGAAAAAGATACATGATCATTTTCTTTTTTTTTGTGCAGCTAGCACTCTCTGCTGTATGTTTTGTACCACGAGTGTGAAATTCTTCTGAAACAAAATGCTACTTTAGTGAAAATGATTAAGCTATTAAATGTAATTGTAATATTTTTTCTCTAATATATTGTACAACCTACTGATTAATTTCTTTATATAGTATATGAACTGACTACCTATTAAAAAATTGACATCACAGCAATATCTCTTTCAGCCGGTATTGTAAATCATATGACTCGTGCCATGAATAATAATACATCATATGCAGTTGTATGTAGGTAGGCCCTAATTACTTGAATTGGAGCTTTGCCATATCTGTCTTATAGTTACAGAATAAGTTTCTAGGACAGCAGGTCAGCACAGTGACATTTTAGTAGAAAGTAAATGGGGCACAGTGTCAAAGTTTCTTTGAACTCAGGGACAGGGTTCTCAGAGTTGTAATTTTTATCTGCATACCAAAATATGTCTTTCTTTTTCTGGACTTTCAAAGACGTTTTGATGTTTCCTGCAGTATGTCATCAGTAAAAAACATTGTTCTTTTCCTCCCTCAAGTTTTGAAAGGATAAGGCTGCTTTTTCACTTTTAGTCTTGTAATAAATAACTACATAATAAAGAAAGCATGTTTAGTTCATACTAGCTCCTTTATTTGATATATGTGAAAAAAGAACTGATGCTATTATCCTTTATTTCATAATGTGCTTGGTCCTGTTTTCAGGATTCATTTCTGTATGAAAAAAGGTTGGCTGAAGTATGGTGTGAACAATGAAATCTTGAAAGAAGAGCCACTGTTCCCCCGTGCTACCAACGTTTCAGGGAATTCTCCGCTCTTTGATCTTCGAAGTAAGGGCTATGTTGATAGCATTAAAAAATATGTTGGTAACTCTGGAAATATTGGCTTTGTGGTGTCTAATTATATTTTTCCTAAGAATTGTAAAAGTAAACAAGACTGTGTTTTAGATTATAGCCTCAATAGCTAAATAAAGAGGTTTTGCTTGGCATTGATGTGTTTGCTGCCTAAAACGCTAATTTTTAAAGCAGATAATTAAAAAAGAGAGCTTACCATTGATTCTGCCCTTTTAATTCTCTGAAATTGGCTCTGGCCATAGGTGTTGAAAAGCAGTGGTATTTCTGAACATAAAATGTAGATTCTTCTTGATTATCTTTGAAGATAGATAATGCCAACTATTATTACTCTAAGAAAGTTTTTTCTTTGAAAAGATTTTATCTGTCTGTTATCTTCACTTCCAAAATAATACCATGTCACTTCGAAGAGTCCTTTGAAGTTTTTTTTACCTCTATTTTGCTGTTAATAGAATTCATATATATTTTTTTACAACTCATTTGTTTTTACTTACAGCCCCGGATGTAACTAGATTTTCTCCAATCTGCAAATGGAAGCATTTGTTTTTGCGTTTGGGCCATCTGGACAAGAACTGGAGTAAAGGTCGTTATAATGTGGCGCCAGTTCTCAGAGGACATAAGGACAAAGTTACAGCTTTTGATTGTGAAGGTAAGAGATAAACTGTGGTACTTTTGCAACTCCTGAACTAAAAGTTTCAATACTGTACACTTTTGTCATTCAAAAATAGAAAATGGAGCAATGTGGTTGCTTTTTGGGGGCAAAAAAACTCTAATTATAGCGTAAGTCTAGCTTGTCTTAATTAAGATTTTGTAGGCCTACGAACTGTATGAAATGAAGTACATGTACATGTAGTACCATTTTGTGAGTGAACTGATAACATTTCTTTACAGTTGTATCTTAATACTATGAAGCTGCCTTTTTTAATATTCAGGGTATATCAGTTCTGATTGGCTATTCCTAAATGAGCAGCTTATTGGTATCCTTGGCAATGCCAGTTGTGGTATTCTTGAGTTTAGATTGCTTGAATTTTCATATCTTTTCACTCCTTGGCCTTGGTAATAATTGGAGATGGTTGTTTGATTCATAGTCCCATTTTTTACGTGACCTCACTATGTTGAAAAAAATGTGACAATATCGTACCAGACCTCGTAAAAAGAGAAAAAAATATGTTTTTTTACTCTGGATTCAGCTTAGCTGTTTCCATTATCATGGTTACGAAAATAATGCTTCCATGACAAAGTTTAATTTCCCTTTTGGATAGAGATCAGATTTTGTTACCAACTGCTCCTATATAAAGGTCTTAATCTTTAATATGCATCAATGAGTCATCATGTCTATTCTATATTGTACTGTGTCTCCTTTCATGCACCCAAAAAAAAGCTTTGTTCAGAGAGTCATGAACGCACATTTTAAGCATGTTTGTTAAAAGTGTGCATCATATGCTTATTTCATTGTTCTTTTATATACTCTGCTTTTTTGCAGGATAGTCTCCCATGTATGTTTTTGTTATTCACAGCCATTTAACTACACAGATTTCAGGACATGTCTTACTGTTTCAAAGATTTTGGATAAATAAATGGTTTCTTACATTTTTACTATGTGCGTTGTTTTTTTTCAGATCTTCCTAATAAGTTTTATCATGCTGTAAATAAAATATGTTCATTCACTCACCTAGACAAAAGCTCCCTCATAAAAGCTGTCCCATAACTTCCCTCTACGAATCACTATTTGCCTGTGGCAGCTGCTGCTTGCAGTTTAAATTTTCACATAGGTTCAGAGCCAGTGTAAATACCAGCCTACTACATGAATAATTTATTTGAATACATTAAGTAAGTGTTTTCATGTGTCAGAAAAAAAAGTAGAGATTTATTTCACTCGATAGTACACGCACAGTTTAAATATACTATAAATTGACATAGCCTTAGACAGCTCGATGCAGTCGAACCTACGCTAACGGCCCCCTGTCCAAGGCAATCGCCTGTACAAATATCCACTTCCCATTCCCCCCGTGCAATTTTAAAATATCAAAATGACACCGTCCAGAATGTCCACCTGTCCAAGACAACCTTTTTTCTCAACAACAGTAGTTGGCCGTCTTGGATATTTTTAATATAATTGATAACATATGAGGAGTCTTTTATCGCTATGTCACTCTACATTTGATGAGAAGACATAATTATTGACTTCTATTCCAGACCTGGGGGCTGGGGGGGGGAGGGTTAGGAGGCAGAAAGTCGAGATAGTTAGAGCGCAGGAAAGGAGGTGAAAACGTGACAAAAAGAAAAATGGGGTTTATACTTTGCTGGTACACCTCCTCAACATTGTTGAAAGATGTAGAGTCAGAGATACCAAAGAAGAGAATGTAAAAGTTATTTCTGGTCACTGTTCAGGTCACTGTCTTGTGAGCGGGAGTGATGACCACACTGTGAGAGTGTGGGACCTAAGGACTTGTACTTGCATCCGCCGTATAGGAGGCCACTCAGACTCTGTGACAGCTGTGAGAGTAACTGTAAGTCTCCTCACACTTTGCTGTTGGAAATAGTTATGAAGGGCTCTTCAGCTTTGTAGAATAAGTAGAGGTATTGGGCTCGTTTGGTGTGCCAAAATTATTTTTTTCTGTTCATTTAAACTTTGTACAGGTTTAGTCAGAGAGTGACTTGGGTTTTTCTCAGGCTTTCTATTTTTCACTCTCCTGATTCCAGGATAGATGATAATGGAGCTAAAAGAAGTCTTGGAGCATTGTATGTGCATATATTATTATTGAACCCATAAAGATACAGTGACAATTGAAAGGGAAAGCCAGCCATGGAACATAACCATACTTTATGTACACATGCATTTGAACACACATACACAAACACACCCACACACACACACCCACACACACACACACACACACACACACACACGCTCACACATACACATGCACACACACACACTGGCACACTCACACACAAGCACACTCACACGCAAATACACACACCCATACAACCACCCGCACACATGCACTCACTTTTATCTTGAAGAAAATTTTATGTTGAAACTATCACCTTTTTAAATCCCTCCAGGGTAACATGGCAATAACTGGTTGTGGAGACAGTGCTGTGCGTGTGATTGACATTTGCACAGGCAAAATAGTGCTCACTTTTTTCGGCCATGGAGGCAGTGTAGATCACATCCATGTTGTTGGTTCCAATGTGATCAGTGCTGGGTCTGATAGGTAAGTGTATAATTAGAGTAATGTCAAATCACACTTGTGGAAATAAATAGTTTTGTCATGCCAAAAAAATTCATTTATTTCAAATACATGTAGATCTATATCATTGTAATTTGCTTTAAAATGTTTCAAACCCATCATCAAAACAATATTGATAATTAAGATCAAGGGCAGTTTGACCTTGGCTTTCATTAGAAACGCTGAAAGTGTGGTATTCATCCCAGCTTTAAGATGTAGTCATTCAATTAAATGTCTTTTTTTTGTGGGGATTCTACGATATGTTTTGCTTACAAGGGGAAAAGAGCCTAATAATTTCACCACAGATACCAGTATATAATTGATTTTAACTTTTTTATTTCAATTTTGAGTGAATGAACACTTACCTGTTGTGGACAGGATAGTTAATATTCATTGGTTGACTTTTAACAACCATTGCTCTAACATTTAATAACATTTGAATATAGACTGAATATGTAACCACTGTATTTTATTTGCTGCAAAATGTAATGCTTTCTTTCCAAAGTCTTGCTGTCTTGTTTTGTATGCTTCTTTCTTCTGTTACCTAAATTAACAGCTTCTCTACTCTTAAACAATATAACATTTTCCCGCATGCTGCAGTCATGAGAGATATTGTGAGTGTAGTCACATTATAGGATTTTGTTATGCTTACACAGCAAAACATCATTACGGGATGGAAATGTATGCAGTAATTTTTCAAAATAGAAAAATGACCTCGAACAGTCCTTCATTATTACTCCCACTCTATAGATTTGCATAAAGATAACTCGTTTGTAGTAAAAAAGGAAATGTTGTGTGAGATCATCAGTTCCAGTCATATTATGTGGGAAGTTGTGGAAGCCATTTTACTGAACATTTCACTGTATAGCTAATAAAGTAGTTGTGTTGCAGATTAAAAGTTTTCCCTTCACAGTGTGCATCTGGCTCTTGTGTTCACTTAATTTGAAGTCTGCATAAGGGGATAGCGATAAAGCTTATTTTCATGCTCTTTCTATAGATTTGTTTTATTTTATTTCTAAAATCCTCATTCAACACAGAACAAAAGAAAGGTTTCATTTTTGCCCAGTGTCTTTTATTTTTTAATTTCTTTAATGGCTCCACGGTCTTGTTTGTTCAAGAAAAGACGCAGTATATTTTTCTACCTTTGAAAAGTGTTCTCTTTCTGTTTACTATATAATGGATGTAGTTGCTACTGTGGTTCACAGCTGTCTTTCTAATGTTCTGTCCAGTGTGTTGTCAATTTATTCATGAGTGATGACCCCACTGACCTACATATCTTTATGTTGTGTGGATGGTGGACACTAAATACTTTAACTCATTTAATTAGTCAGTTGGAGATTCTCACCTGTCCTGTTGACTTTTTTTGGTGGATATTTTAAAAATCTTTACAAGAAATTCATATCAACAAATCACAGTGTTTTTTGTCCCAACTTCATAGAGGCCTGTATTTGTTTGTTAGTAGACCTGAAAATGGAAAGAAGAGTAAAGATTCTAAAAACGTCAGGGATTAATTACAAATGCAGACAAAAATGTGTCATTTCTTTTTTAAATTCCAAATTAAGAGGAGGTAGATTAGAGTGCTGATTTACCTTAATCACTCCTCTACTAGAAATAAAGGGAATTACCAGTTTATTTTCACCAGCTTCAGCCATGCAAAATACTCAATTGTGTGTACACACAAACACATACACATATGCGTACACAAGCATGAATACACAGACAGACACACACACACATGCATGCACACATGTACACCTGCACACATGCACACCTGCACACACACATGCATGTGCACATGTACACGCACACACACACACACACACACACACAC